AATGAACAAGGGAGGGTCTTGAGCTTGGCATCCTTTCATCTTGGAAGAATTCATAGCTGGGAATTGGCTAAAGCTTTGCAGTTGGTTGAATGATGGCTTCCAATGAGATCTGTCCATGCCTTAGTCTTCAGAAGCTGTTAATGTGACCTTATTTGGAAAGATGGATTTTACAGGTCTCATTAAGTTAGGAATCTTAAGATGATATCATCCTGGATTACCCAGGTGGGTCCTAAATCAAATGAAAAATGTTCTCATAAAAAAATTCAGAGACAGTGAAGCCTGCAGACATATTGATTTCAGGCTTCTAGCCCCCAGAAGTATGAGATAATAAATGTCTGTTGGTTTAAGTCACCAAGATTGGGGCAATATGTTACAGCAGCTCTAGGGATCTAATACAAGTTCCTTAAAAGAGAGTTGTAAGAGACCTGGAGGAATAAGGCTGTGCTCTCAGGGTAACAACAGTGGCTACAGCACTATGGCCACATAGGTAGATGTGGGACAGCAGTCAAACTCATACTAGGAGTTTCTCTGCAAAAGTCAGACATTTTTTTGCGGCCGGCTGTCTTATTCCAGAGACATTACCAATTAGAACATGCTGATCATATGCTGTTGGTTAGTAAATCTGTTTCTTCAGCTGATTTGTGAATTTCTAAAGACCAAGAGCCTTCATTTCTTTCTTCAACAAAACTTAATTGAAAGACTGTTATATGCTCCACTCTTTGCTAGGTGCTAAAAGGCTGAGTAACACATAGTTTTCAAGGTGCCAGCTGACCTTGGGTGATACACCACGTTGCGTTCAACTGATGTTTGATGGAGGAAATAAATTTGGATAGATAAAACAGTTTGGAAGAGTAGACAGTTTTGTACCGACAGAGACCTGGGTTCCAGTTGTGTAAACCTGGATAATTTCCTTAATGGTAAAATGGAAAAAAGTAACACCTACCTTGTAGGGTTTCTAGGATGATTAGCATATATGTAAAACATAGGTCCCACATAAAGTACATATTTTCAAATGCCTGTAATGTTACTAATAAATGAGGAGCTAATGTTCCAGCAAAGCTTATACCTTGCATCCTTGCATTAATATTTTAGTACATTTTCCACATGTTTTTACTTACTTCATATTTCTCCAGCTTTCTAATGTAGGCAGGATAGGGATGATTCTCACATGGAACACTGAATCCATAAAAGAAGAGGATGGTAATGGAGCTACACAACGCCCTAGATTTCCTGTCTCACAGGGCCCCGTGTTTCCCACCACAGCCATGCCATTCACCTGGTTGAGAAAGCCCCTCGAGGAAAAAGGGTGGTCTGCTCACAATTACAGTTTAAACATGACTCATCTTCCTTAAGAGTCAATTGTACCCAAAGATTTTGGGAACAAGACATCTTTAAAATACTGCAATAACACAGCTTCATTTTAAAGCACGCAAAACTTAATCATAATAACGAATACTTAACGTGCATCGGTCTCTGTTCTAACCATTTAAAAAAACCACCATTTCGTTTAACTCTTACAACTTTCCAAAGTAGAGCTTATCATTATCCTCATTCTACACATTAAGAAACCAAGAAATAAAAACAGTTAAAAGACTTACGCAAAGTTACAGTTAGTGGCAGAGCTGGGATTTGAACTAAGGAGATTTGGCTCTAGAGGTTCCAATTTTAACCACTTTGTTAGGAAAGTTTAGATAATTTATTATGAATATTTTAATGGACCTAGGGTAGCAGGGCTGCAGTTATTTTATTCTATTGTCTATCATTGTGGGCATAGGTCAGGGGAAGACTTTGAGGAGAATTTCAAAAGCACTGTGCCACACAGGCTGTTTACAGAAATGATTTTTAAGGATCAATAGTGTGTGTGTGTGCGCACGCGTGTAGAGAGAGACAGAGCACGAGAGAGCAAGAGAGCAAGCATTTCACAGTGTATGCAATTTTAGCTTAATTAGAATAGGAAGACTATTAACAAGTTATTTTTAAATGCACCAAAGATCAAGAGGTATATTAGAATTAAATTACACCGTGTGAGGCTGATTGGCAGCCCGTGTAATGTGGGCAAGTTCACCATCTTGTGTTTATCAGCACAGTTTGCAAAGTAGGCCTGAAGGGCATGGCCCCAAACCCATAGAGTGTGGAGCTATAATTATTCAAGTAAAAAAAAAAAGAAACTAATTGGAAATGTGATAAGCAATGATTAGCTAGTCTATTTCAGGAGGAACATGAACAAAATGAGCAGACGCCAACTGTAGTGGCTTTAGTGAAAAAGGATAGATACACTTATTTAAATGAAAAGTTCTCTGTCACCTGAAGACAGAATTTCCCTAAGGACCAGACCATTAGCGTGTCATTTGCATAGAGAGCTTAAAACAAAAACAGCCACCACAAATAGAAACTCCTGGGCACAAATATAGACTGAATTCAAAGGATGCTGATTGGTGCAAAGGACTGAGTCCGTGCTGAGGGCACTTGCAGACTAATTGCCAGTTGGGAATGTTCCTGACCTTGCAGTAGCAAGAACTAAAATAACCCCAGCAAAACAGAGCGTGGAAGAAGGGAGAGGGGTTAGAAGACCTTGGCTCCTGTTTTGGCTGAAGCTCTTGGGCCGGAGCCCAGAGCCCATGTGCATTTGAGGAATAACTTTTCCTCCCTGGGTTCCCTCATGGGTAACTCCCTCCTCTCCAGTGCTAACTGCATCTGCGTCCTCCTTATTTTGGACTGTTGAATCAAACCCTTGGGCTCTCCAGAGGCTCCACGTTGTTATCCCCCAACTCCAGCTTTATCTTGTGTTCAGGGTGGGGGTTTGAGCGCTGGAGTCCAACTGCTTCAGTTCAAATTCTCATGCTAATGATTGCGACCCTTAGCCAGACCTTGCTCTCTGCCTCAGTTTCCTCCTCTACAAAATGGAGGAAAGATACTTCACAGGGTTGTTGAGAGGATTCAAGCAGATAAAGAAGGTAAAACAGAGAATAGTGCTTGATGCTTACCAAGTACTCAATAAATGTTAGGAATTAATATGAATTTGCCTCCTTGGGTAGAGCTCCCTAACTTCAATTATTCGTATTCACATCTCCTATAGTTGTCATGAATAAGTATCATCTACTTAATGTACTTTAAAAATCCATTCAAGTTTTTAAACTCAGCCATATTTCAAGCAATATTATTTGTGAAAGTCCAGGATGTGTTAATGATTTTTTTCTAATACATGTTAATGATCCACTAAAATAAAGGTGGATCTATTTTTATAAACGTGGCACAATCTTAAATCATCTATCAGTACACATTTTACACATGAGGAAACACAGTCTACACACATTCACTCGTCTTCCAGTTGTTCTCTCAGCAAGCATCTAGACAAAACTTACCACGTGACTGGAGAGGAAGTCAGACAATAGAAGCGGAAAAGCATCTTTTCTGCCTCCACTGAGCAGAGACCCAGAGAGAGATGAGAACAATGACCCAGTAGCAGGGCTTTTCTTCATGGGGTAGCCTTTTGGTCCTGCTTGGGCAGGTCTGTTCCCTCAGGAAACAGCAGGAAGAACCAAGCATGTCAGGTGTTCCAAATTCCAGTTCCAAGACAAGTTGGCCTTGCATCCAGATTCTACATGGTGAGACCCTGGGCTTCTTATCTGAGCTCTCTGACCATCTGTTTCCTCATCTGCTAAATGGGCATAGTATGTACCTCACCGAGCTAGTGGAGGATTCAATCCGACGACATAGTGAGTATTCAGTGAATGAGCGTTCTCTTCAAACGATTAGTGCTCACACAGGACTCACATTTCCTGTCCTGCAGACCTGGGGAATATGCCCATTCTCCTCTGTTGTAAATGCTCTCTAGGTTTTTCCCTAAAAATCTGCTTCTTTGCCTAAGCAGCCCTTAGCGTACTAAACCAATTTAACATTGGCCAGCATGTAGTGAAGGCTTTCCAAAAAATTCAAGACCCATCTTCAAAGGCCTAATGTGTCTTCTTACCACAATTTGATCTTGTATAGGATGAGGCTTGTAAAATCTCATTTTACACATGATGAAACTGAGGCATGGAGAGGTTAAGTAATTTGCCCAGATCACAAAGCTGGCAAATGGAGGAGCAGGTAACCTCTACAATTAGTAACCACTAAAATTGCTACTACTAAAGACAAGACTGTAACTAAGGCCCCCAGTAGGACCACATCATCTAGCTCAGTGATTCTCCACTGAGAGGGACTTTGTCTTTCAGGGGACATTTGGCAATGTCTGGAGAAATGTGTGGTTGTCACAGCTGTGGGGTGTGTGCTACTGGTATCTAGTGGGTGGAGGTCAGGGATGCTGCTAAACATCCCACAGTGCACAGGACGGCTTCCCTCCCTCCCAATTATCCGAGGCAAAAATAAGTCGGCAGTGCTAAGGCTGAAACACCCTTGTGCAGGCACTATGACATTAACTATTCACAACCCAGTTGATAACTAAGAAGAAGCTACAGAATCTCTCAGATTCCAAAACAGGTAGCATGAAGTTCAGGCAGAAAATTTTGTGCACTTTGTCACAAGAAATGACCAGGAGCCAATTTCCTAAGGCATATTCATCTCACCATTCATGAAGTCGATTAAAAGCACCAAATGGATGTGGTATCTGGGTAGAAAAGGGAAGCATGGAATATACTAAGAGCCAAGAAGACAGCCAACAGCTTGCTAGTCTGAGGAATGGAGAAAATGGAAGCAGCAGTAGAAACACTGGCTGTGACAATCCCTGTAAGAAACAGCCATGTGGATAGAGGCGGCTCCTGAGGCCGTGGGAAGAGGTCTTCTGGGCATTCAGAGGGACATCATGCCAGGACGCCAGCATGGCGGGCAGGCCATGAGCAGCATCTGCTTCATCTCATATTACTGAGCTTCTGTGACTTTTTTTTTTTTTTTTAAGGGGTGTGAGACTGTCAGTTGAGGAAGACAGTATAAAAAAGTTGGAGATGATTTATCCGGTGATGTTTTCTGCATAAATTGCAAAATAGCCAAATGAGGCAAATGGATTTAGTTACTAGAAATGGGAACAGGAGGCAGGATGCTCACCTGAGTATTTTGCTTTATTCAATGTAATAAACATTTTATTTATATAAAAGACAAACAATGCATAGAATGAAAATAAGTGCTCGAGACTTTTGATATAAAAAGAGTATATAGCATTCACATTCCTATTTTAATAAATGAGTACAGCTGAAGTGTTCCATAAAAGAATAAAACTTTCCCTTTATGTATAGTAGTGAAAAACGTCAGTATTTTTAGGAACTACAGAATGTTATTCCTTGGTCTTTTTTCTTGAATAAGAAAAAAAAAAAAAACATAAACAAAACAAGCCACAGTATTGTCTGACACTACATTCCAGTTTATGCTGATAACCCAGAAGTGAGAATACTCTTGAATCTTGACTATCTCATGAATGGACCAGTATTCTAGAAACTCACCACTAGAGGTCAATGAGCAACAGCGATTGGGATGGTATCGGCATGCCCTACGGCGCAAGTGGAATTTCTAGGCGCCTCTATGCTCCTGCAGCCACACTGTCTAACTCTCAGCCCACTCACACTGAGTAAGGTGCCCGGAGGTTCTGCCTAATTCCAAACTTCCGCATGTATCCTAACAATCTCAATAAAATGAGACTTTCCAACATCCAAACAGAGCTGATATTCTCACTGCCAGTCCCTCTCTAATATTCCTATTTGGCTGAAAATAAGTAGCTTCAAAAACAGTTTTAAAAAAAGATTACTTGCAGCATTAACACTTCTTTGCTGATTAACATGTTTCCTATGGAGTTTCAAAGCTCATACTTTGTTCTTGTCCTTGTGGACACAAATTTCCTAACTGCAAATGGGATTTCCGTGTCCCACATTCAAGTCCTCTCTAGTAATTTCTGCAAAGGTTGGGAAGGCTGGCATGATGGAGACAACAGGAACCACGAGGAAAGCTTCTGGGAGTAAAGCGCTCTTCTCTCCAAGGCAGAGGGTAAAACTATGAACATATAAGCAAAAGAAACTTGGGCTAACAGACCCTTAAAGGAGTTCCCCTTTAGTCCAATAAAAGGCCAACTTCAAATCTTAACACCAGATAAGGTAGTCAAAATCGTACTATATACCCAGAGAATGACTGCTTGCATGGACATTTCTTACAAGGGACCTTGGTTAGGTGGAGATTTAATTCCTAGACGGGGGTCCAGGTAGGCAGTGGAAAGAGCTAATGTTTACAGTGAGAAGTGAGGCAGCTTTTAAATGTCTCCACACCTTCACATTTTCTGAACATGGACTGGAGATCACTGAAAGCCATCTGCTCTCCTTACCTGGGGATCCAGATCTTCCTGCAAAATCTCCACGTATTTATAAAGTGGCTTCACTTTTTGAAACGCTGTGCTGACCAAACAAAACATATGTTCAGAGTGCCCAAGGTCATAGTCCTGACAATGATAGTATTGTGTAGTTGAAATCCCCTTCATTAGGCCAAACTGTGCTTGAGCAATCAGGAGCCCAGAAAGATGGAACCCATTGGTGTTTGTATAGAAAACTAGAGAATCAAGTCAAGTGTAATGAAAAAGTAAACATGATAAAGCGTAGAGTGGGGATTTGCTCCTTTTTAGAAAAGGATGAAGGCTGGGAGCAGAGAATAGTAACGTAAGTGCAGGGGAAAGATGAAAAAAAACAGAACAATTTTTCATTAGTAGATGGTGGGGCAATCGCATGGATGGGGAAATCTGTTCTGATTTTTCTGCAACTCATGAGGGTAAAAAGTGGGGCTCAAAACATTCAAGGTAGTAAAGACAGGGTAGAGTTTCTAAACTAGGTTGAGGGAAATTTCTAAACTAGCCCCCGCAGATGTGCTGCTTGCAGCTTAAATGAAAAGTCCAGGAGAAACAAGGGCACACAGGAACCCCGGGAACACTGGTTCCCAAACAGTGCCACTGTACTTAGTTCCATGGCCAGAAGAGAACTGCCAGGCAGGGAATGATTATTTTGCAAAAGCAAGTGCAATGTGGTCATAGCTGGCTGTGAGACGTGCAGCCTCTTGCCTCATGCAAAGTTCCCTGTTACACAGTCGGAGAACCACTGCATGTGTGATTGTCAAATGCTAATGCTGTCATGGGTCCCTTCCTTCTCTACTTGGTTCTGGAGCTCTCCAATAAAACCAATTTCCTGGGAATATTTGATCTTTTTCCTTGTCTCTTTTCAAGGTATGGCTATATATATAGAGATATAGACATATATAGATATATAGATATATATATATATAACATAGCTATTCATATTTATATACAGGCATTAATAAAGTGCAAATGTTATTGGCTGTTGTAAAAATCAATCTCATTTCCTGAGGAAGTGCTAACACAGCTTATCCTATGACAATGTCAAAGGCATAGAATGCTCGATGTCACCTACTCCCTGCTGCTGTTGTTTCTGCTTACCCCACAGCTTACAGGGAGGGGAGGGACCCCCTTGGTTTTCCAGGAAGCATCAGTTCAGGGGCAGCTTCCTGCTGCCTCTGTTCTTTGGTGAGAGGGGCAGCCTCTTTGGACATGGCCCAGCCTGCCCCAGAAGAGCTATTTGGTAGTGTTTAGGGAGCCGTCTTCAGGAATCTTCTCCTCGGAGCAGCTCCTCCCCGAGAGCCTGTCCAGGTGCTCCAGCTCACTGAAGCGTTCTGCCACACACTGGGCTGTGAGGCGGGCCTCCGGGTCGTGGTCCCAGCACTCAGTCAACGTCTCACACACCATCTGGATGCCCTGTAGTGGGAAAGAGATCCAAAGGGCACCATTAGTTGGTGGGCTCCGCGGAAGGCAAAGTGGCCTGCTGACCTGTTGCTATAGGGAGTGCAAGCAGGGTTCAAAAGTACCTGTGCATTTAACATGCGCTGACTGAGTGCCCGCTGCTGGGGGCCAGCCAGTTCCATGTGGAAAGGGGGGATTGTGCTGGGGGCGGCTGTGCTCGAAACCTACCATACTTTTTTGGCTCTGGTGCTATCTGATCACAATAGGTCCTGACAGCACAATGATCCTCTGCTGGGCTTCTGGGGTACACTAACACTCCCAACACTGGAAAATTCCCCATGCAGTGGCCCCTAATACCATTGTAACGCCTTTCTATTTAGAGAAGTTCTTGGTTCACAGCAAAATTGAGTGGAAAGTACAGAGAGTTTTCACAAAACCCCTTCCCCATACAGGCACAGCCTTCTCCACCTCGATATCATCCGTCTGTGTGCTACATTTGTTCGAACTGATGAACTAACACTGACACATCATTATCAATCAAATTCATACTTTACACTAGGGTTCACTCTCGGTGTTGTATATTCTATGGGTTTTGACAAATGTATAAAGACATGTATCTACCATTATAGTATCATGCAGAATAGTTTCTCTGCCCCTCAAATCCCCTGTATTCCACTTATTCGTTCCTCCCTCCATTCCCCTACATTTCTGGCAGCCACTGATCTTTTACTGTCTCTGTAGTTTTTGCCTTTTCCAGAGTGTCATATAGCTGGGTCATATATACACTGTTCTATTTTAACAGGGCTGATTACCCCCGTCAGAGTTGTATGCAGGCATTAGCGTGGTTTCATTTTCCATAGGCCACACATTTTGTAGAGTGATTCAGTAGCAGCTTCTACGAGCTGCCAAGGATGACCTCTGGGATGCTCCATTCCTCTCCAACAACATAAGGTTGGACCCTGTGAAACAGCTGCCTTTGAGGGTCAGGCATGCTTAACTCTATGCCGTTTCACAGGGTTCACCCTAACTGAATCGAGGCCCCATCCGAGAAGCCCATCCAGAAGATCCTGCCCAGGAAGGTGGCAAGAGTTTTCTCTCACTGGCTTAATTTTTATTTTGCATTGCAAGTATTTTTGGTATCATTTCAAATCCTTTTTGGAAATAAAGCAGGCAGGAGTTAAGCAAATGGTCTGATAGGTGGAAATAGAGTGTGCTCCTCCCAATTATAAGATCAACATTGCTAATGGGGATCCATCACACAGGTGGCTGGGAGTGGGATGGATAAATCTCCAACCTACCTGGGAGAGCTGGCACTTTCTCTACTTGCTTTCTAATACGAACAACTTTCCAAACACACCTAGGAACCTATCTCTTTCCCTCTCGACACCATGAGTTCATGATGTTAAATTAATTGCATAATTCACCTAATTGACAGTATTGACAGATGGCCCTGTTAAGAGTAGAGTACTATTGTTGGTACACAAGTAACATTTATTTTATTCTGGCACTGTAATTACAGGCAGTAAATTAAATTAAATATTAAGCATTAACTTGAAATCAATAGGGCAACAAATCTCATTATGAGAAAAAATGTATTATGCAAATTCTTTTCAGAATTTTATCATCATGAATAATGGCTTCATTACGAGAACTATACAGCAGAGGAGGCAACAGAGTTTGAAAGAAACATAACACTCCAGTACATTCTGATTTCAGAATTTATGCAAAACATTCTTACAGTTTTAGTGTCAAAGAGGATTTGCCCAGAACTCCAGCGAAGCCGGTGGCCCACCACAGCCTGGTTCACCCCCGCCCCCTCCTTTATGAAGGACTTTATTAAGGTCTGTCTGCTGAAGTGGCTCTGCGCCAGGACTGGCACAGACCAGGCTTCCTGCTCCATTTGTCTTCCCGATTGTGCCTGATTTGTTGTTTCTGTTTCTTATCTGAATTTGCCTTGCCCTTAGGGAAACCTACAACTTAGCCTCAGCCTTCATGGTTGAGGGAATTCATCCAAAAGAGGCAACAAAAGGTTTTAGTCAGTAGAAAGAACAGTTTTCTCAGTGAGATAGGGTCACACAGTTCTCTCCCATTCTTCACTAAGGGCTCCTTTCTGGGTATGTCAGACATATGGCTGGTTCTGACTCGCTCACAACCTATTGCTTTCTTTTTTCTCTGACCATTGCCCTCATCAAAGTGCCCCCACACAAACAATCTGGATCAGCCTCTTTATAAGTCCAGAACGACTGCCCTGCTATGGACAGCCTTAGCTACCATTTCTTAACGAGAAAAAATAAGGGGCCATTAGGATGTTCCCAACAGACAGAATTCTCGTTCCTTCCTGGGTATACTCCTCTTCTTTGCTTTCCTTAATTCCAGAGTGAGGAGTCAGTCTCCTCTTTCCCATGCGTGCTCACTCAGACCTCTCCCAAGTCTGTGAGCACAGTCTGCAAACACCTGTACACAGCCCTCTGCATGCCACAGTCACTTCTCGGTACAGTTGCCTGACAAACCCTGCTTGTTTGGCACGTGCTAAGTATTTCCTTATGGAACTGAAGATTCCCAGAAGAAAACATTTGGAATCCAGAGGGAATGAAATGTAAACTCCTGACGTGAAGGCCCAGGAGTAAGTAGCAAAGGCTGCAAACAAAATGTTTTAACCCAGGACCAAGGGGGCTTGGAAAATGTGACAAACGCCCTCCAAATGTCTATTCGTGAGCTCTCAGAGTATATATCAGCTGGTTGGAACCTATAATAATTGGGTCATCCTCTTTATTGAAATTTTCTTTACAAACAAAATTTAACAGGGCCATAGAACACAACGGGACCTTCCCTCAGATTTAAGCTCAATATTCCAGAATTTTCTGCCACCTAAGAGGCAACTTTGGTTGAATCTTACTGACCTTTGTAAACACTCACTCCTTACCTGGTGGTTGAGCCAGAAGCTGGGAATTTCTGGTCGTCCTCGATCTCTCAACACGTTGTCCTTCATGCTTTCGACACAGGGGTGCTCCCGCACCTTGGAACCAAATGGAGGCTCATAATCTTTTACTTCTGTGAAGAAAGCCAGCAAACACAGGGTCACTGAGAATGGTGTGTGCAGCCAAAGGAAATGAGCATGGTGAGATGCCTGACTGGGGAGCATGAAGGACTAAGTAACAAATACATCTGTGATTACTCTAAGAGCAAACTTTAATAATAATGGATTAAGATAAGAAGGAAGGAGTGGTTAGGGGAAGGGCTAGAGAAGTATTCAATAAATGATTGCTGATAACTTAAAATGTGCTAGGTGTTATGCTGGGGGACAGAGTGGACAACAAAATAGAGAGGGTCACGGAGCTTACGTTTTAACACGGGCATTCTCTACAGGGTGATACGGCACCAAAAGGGTGAAATTGGTTCTTGGGAAGTGGAAAAATCTTATGTATTACAACAGTTTGTGAGCCTCCAAAGGCTCAGAGTATACAAAGAGATTTAAAATGTGGTATTAAATTTCATGCAGGTATTAAGGCATAAAAAGGAATGAAACTCTGGCACATGCTACAACATGGATGAACCTTGAAGACATTATGCTAAGTGAAATAAGCTAGACACAAAAGGATAAATATTGTATGATTCCTCTTATATGAAGTACCTTGAACAGGTATATTCAGAGACAGTATAATGGTGGTTGTCCAGGGGGCAACCTGGGAAGAAGGGGGTATGAGAAGTTATCCTCTAAAGAATTTCAGTTGAGCAAATGAAAAAGTTACAGAAAAATGAACAATGGTGATGGTTGTAGAGCACTGTGAATGTACTTAATGCCAGTAAATTGAACCCTTAAACATGGTTAAGATGGTAAATTTCATATTATGTCTATTTTGCTACAGAAAAACATCATGGAGAGTAGTGATCAGAAAAAAGTTGTCTATAGGCCAGGTGCTGTGGCTCGTGTCTGTAATCCCAGTACTTTAGGAGGCTGAAGGAGGATTTCTTGAGCCCAGGAGTTTGAGACCAACCTGGACAACATAGTGAGATCCTCTATCTATACAAAATAAAAAACAAAACAAGCAAACAAAAAAAGTTGCTTAAAAAGGCTCCTTATGATATCACTGATTTTAAAAAAGGTTGAGAAATGCTGTTTTAGTGGGAAGACAAGGGACAGATTAACAACGTTAACAACATTTTAAAGAGATTTTTAAAAATTTTAAAATTTAAAAATTTTCCTCAGATGGTATATTCAACAAAGAAAATGATAAAGGAGGAGGTAACCCTTCACCAGGGCTTCAGGCTTCAACTAAGATCAAATTCTTTATAAAAACTTCCTTGAACATCCTTAGAGTCAATCTTGGTTAAATATCCTGGGCAGGGCTCTATCGTTGCATGTACCCTATTTTATTTAATATATTCACCTGCTTATTTTTCTCACCTAACTGGACTGTGAGCATTTGCGTGCAAGTTGAGTCCCTTTCTCATTCTTGCATTCTTGGTGCCAATTGAAAGGGTATCCCATGCCAAAAGGCTGTCAACAAATGCTCTGTTGAGTGAGCGAGTGAATGAATGAATGAATCTCAGATTCTCTCCAAAATGGCAGTGCATAAACTCTGGCCGAATATTAAAACAAAACACCAATTTAAACGAGCAGATTAATATAGTGTAAACAGAGCACAGGACAGTTAAAAAGACAGAAAACATCCCAGTACTAAAACATATCTGGGCTGAAAGGAGAGACTGGGCTGAATTCAACACTTTTCTCCAAAGTAAGTTGGATCTTTGGCCTTTAGCTTCAAAATAATCTTATGTAATGAGTAAAAGTTTATAAATTTGCACTTTTAGGTAACGAAGAAGCTTTCATGGCAAGATGACATTTTGAAAAGGGATGGCTTGTTTTTGTTCTTTGTTTCATTTTCTTTTTTCCCCTTTTCCAGAACTCTGCTTGAATATTTCTCTTTTTCAGCTTCACGCAAATAGTAGAGCTGCCAGGATATTTTCTTTTTTATAGTTTTAAATACAGGGGAATGTGGGATGAAGGCCTCCCATCACATTAAGACAAACCACAAACTATCCTCCTGTGTGTCATGCTTTCGCCTTCAAGTGCCCAAGCACTTAATCCACACTGCTCTTGGATGAGATCCGAATTGTGATTTGCATAGTATTTACACTCTTATTTTTTTCTTTCATTCCCGATCTTCAACCAGACTGTAAATGCCTAAGGCACAAGGCAGTGGCTGAATTTGATGTCTTTCAGTTATCTGCTCAGTGCCTAAAACTGTGCCTTATATGTAGTAAGAATTTAATAAATATGAGGTGGGTTGAATTCAAGCAAAAGAGAAAACTGAGAATCAGATCTAGTTCCCAGTAAGTGTTTACTCTCACGTACTTCTTCTCTTCTATAAAATGAATAGACTGAACTGAGCTACCTCCTCTTCAGATTTATCTTGTAATCCAACCTAATCAAATATGATGCCTCTTTGATATCATACCTTGAGATATATGTACTACTATATAATAGTAAAGGATAGGATTTGAATATGATATAAATTGTTCTTTAGATAAGGTACAGTCCATAGACCTTCCATCTTCAATTGTTTTGGCTTCTGTAGCAGTTGTAGTTGGTGCCTGCCGAGGTCCCCTTCACCAAGCTAGGGCCAGCAGCCTACAGTTGCCACAGGTGTTGGCTCATAAGGGCTCACACCTTCACCCTTTTCTGGGGGATTGCCCTTGGCCAATGAGAGTTGCCTATCCTGGAGATTCCTGGACATGACCGCCTTACTCTCAGAGGCAGCGTATAGCCAACGACAAATTAATGTTGAAGTTTAACAGTCCAATTCTCTTGGCTCTTGGTGGGTAACTATGGTGCAATTCACACTTTCCAGAGCTTTCTGTGAGATCAAGCTGAGGTTAGACCTCTCTTGAACTACAAGTTCACTTAACTCCTTCCATGCCTCTTCCTGCTTCTCTTACTTCCATCTCGTAAGAGCGTATCCTCAATAAATCATTGCACAAAAGTGTGTCAGACTCCACTTCTAGTAAAGCTGGTCCGATACAGCTTTCTCCTCTCTCCCTAGGCCTTTGTCTCAGTGAATCTGCACCATCTGACTGTAGTTGCAAAGCTACCCTGGGGAAGCCTTGATGTAGCCCCTTCCTGTGAAGGTGAAATTACTAAACCAGGAAGAACATTCTGAATCTCACATTGTATTACTGTTACTCTGATGAAACTCCTTTGCCTTTCCAGGAAGCTTTCATGCTTTTTCCTTTCTACCAAGCATTTCAGAGAGTTCTTTCTCCTCTGACTATCAACAACAATCCTTATACTCATGGTCAGAAGTGACAGAGGAGGACATAACGAACACCAGAGGAGGAAAATGTTGGGATCAGAATATACCCCAGCTGTCAATCTCATGGCTGACAGTCCTTGAGAACAAAGAAAAAGTCTTTGTCCTTGAGACTAGAAACCCAGAGCCAATTCCTTTCAAGTCCCAATCTTCCAAGTTACATAAACTATAGAATTTATTGTAATTATTTTATAGGTACTCTGTGGACCAAAGCAAGTTTCCATGGGGAATGACAGAAGATGGCACTAGGCGTATTTTTACTTAAAGAAAAATTAATGAATGCTATTTTAGAAAGGAAGACAAAGGCAATAATCCCTTCCCAGAACGAAGAGACTTATAAATAGGTTACTTCCTATTTTTCCTAAAATCTTGGAAAGTTGTGAGATTCCCTAATATTCCCAAGGGATATAAGGCCTGCTTCCCATCTTTGAGTTATGGGTAAATTTCACAAGGAAGGGAGGTCATGGGTAGTCTGAGAGGTGCTGGCAAAGGGACTGGCTCCTTGTGCCCCACTGAGAGAATTTATGGCTCTTCTGATTCCTCCTAAGCTTAAAATAGACAAGTCTGGGGAGGGACGATCATCATTTGACCCAAACTGTCATACTCTAATCCTTTAATATTAGTTTTTCAGATAAGGAGTAGGGATGGGGATATGCAGTGTGTGCATGATTTAGGCTGACCTTTCTTTAACTTCTGAAAAATGTCCTATTTATGTAATACAGATTTACCAAAACAGCTAAACGCATGTTTGCTTTTTTCTTTCTAATTATGGATTTTTTCAATTCTTCTTTCTTTACTCTTCTCTCTCACTTTGGACATCCTACTCCTAAGCCCCATTTTTTTTTTTCTCATGCCCTGCAATGTGTAGGAAGACGGTTTAATGTTTAGCAGTGTGTATACATGTGGCTCTCAGTTAACATCTTTGATATTCAATTGCAGTGATCAGGCAACGTTGCTCGTTTTTCCTTCTATGGCCATCAAGGCATTGCCATTCTCAGGGCCTCCATTAGGACTTGTAGGATGACCATGTAACATGGAGGCCATTCCCTCCTGGAGGGCATTTCTTAATTGCTCCTCAGTTCTAAGTGTCCCTCAGAATGCCTCGGATATTTGCTTTGACTCAGCAGAAGAAGGGGGAGAGGGTGGCCAGAGCCAGCCTGAACCCTGTGAGAGGAGGTAGGAAGCAGAAAGTCCTCTGTGAGTCAGGTGGGTACCAATGGTCCTTCCTAGGATGAGACCTCCTGTAACAGAACCCAGGCAGTCCTGGGGAACTGGACAGAGCTGGTGATTGGCAACGAGTTGATGGCCTGAGACCTTGGTTGGACACTCCAACTTTTTCCCCAGGGTTTCAGGCAGCTGGGACTGGGATGTTTAATCCACTCTGGCAAATGAGCACTTCTCAATCTATTTTTTATAAAAGCCCAGATGTTTTGCCCCCACTTCATTGGGAATAAAGGCTTTGGTAAAATACAGTAGAAATGAATTACAAGAAAAATGAATCCCACTTGAGCGTTGTGGCAACATCAAACTGCTATTAAAGGTACTAAACACATCTTGGTTTCTGTCCTTATATTGCAAATCTGAAACAGAGAGTTTGAGGACCAGCACCTTCCAAAGACCACATGTGGGGCAACATTGCTTTAAATGCTTCCTAAGAAATGTGAGATGCATTTTGACACAGGAGAAATGAACACAAGTTATTAAATGTATTTTAAGGGTTTCAAATGAGTCAGACAAAGA